GGGGGGACAAATACAATGCAAGGAGTCCCCATTAAATCGAGATAGGAATAACAGAATTTTTTCCACTCCAAGGTGAATTAAAAAAAAAACGACGTCAATGCTTTCTGATGACCATGCCGTCGGGGTTGGTGTGAATTGTATTGATTGTGGCTTTCAGATTACTGAAAACTTAAAATTACATAAATAAAAAAATAATAAAACCAATAACAAATGTTTGAACGCAGAAATGTAGCTGTCATAATGTGATGTCTTTGGAAGCAGACCAAAATGCAGAGGGGCTGAGATGCTGAGTTGATGGCAGTTTTAATGAAAGAAGATAATGGTTAACAACACTCCTGCCTGCCAGGTAAATTCAAAACCGGGAACCAGAGACACGAGGAGAACACCTATGGAAACGACAAGAGGAACAGGCGAGGAGTGACTGAGGCCAAGGTGCTTAAATCATGTGGAATGCTAAATAAAAGACCCAGACTGATGATATAATAATGGGTTGTAAGTGTGGTGAGGGGGGAGAGTACGTTGGAGTCTAGGAAATAAATTTAACAAAGAAGAAAAAAAAATAAAACTAGAGTAACTAAGAATAACTAGACACAAGAAATAAACATAAGAAACACAAAGAACTGAAATGAAGTAAAACTAATCGACGAAAAGGCATAGAATAATAAATTAAACTCCAAAACAACTAAACGGGATTGTTTATTGCCTGATGTGTGGCATTAATTTATACTTAATGCTTTAAATTGAATTACTGAAATCTCAATGAGAAAAGGCTGATGTGGGTACCTGCTGGTTTTACATCTTCAGATCATCCCTGGCTCCTTCTTGATGCAGGCGCCGCACAGACATCCGAAGAGCCCGTTGATCATCTGAGTGGCACAGAGGATAATCTGCAGGCCGCTGGTCACCACCAGAGTGCTGAACAGTCCGATGTTGAACTGGACGATGTTCTCAGGCTCGGTACACATCCACCACTTCGAGCTGTCGGTCAGGTAACTGGTGTCACTGTGACAAACAGAAGCTGTTATGCTACAGGCCGCACACAAACATTGGCACCTCAGAGTTGTGGGTCTTACCTGTCTTTGAAAGGCCTCGACCAAACCAGTACTACTTTACACAAAGGTCCATTCTGCAAGCCTAACACGGCCACAACGAAGCTGTACAGGGCACCGACCACGCCCACCGCAGCAAAAGCGATAGATAGGAACATCTGCAAAGATTAGAGGAGAGGGGCATGTTTGTTACAGTTTAGTACAGTGTAGCATAAACTCATATCTAAACAAATTACGAGCAAAATTTTGTCTGACTGTTTGTCTTTGTCTTGTCTGCATGGGAAGATTGATCACAGACCTCAGTCTAAATTCAACAGACAAAATCTTTGCAATAAGTCTTACGAAGGTTTGGGGAGTTTGATGCCTTAGCATACTTCCTCTATTAATAAAAAAAAATCCTTCCTCAAACCAAGATGGCGTACTCAAACCAGAATAAATTCTATCTCTCCAAATTATATTGTAAAGCTATTTTTATCCCATAAACTTTCTCACGTTTTGTCCCATCATCACAAGCTACGGGTCTATATTATTGAGACTTTGCTTTATGGTTTAAAGTTTGTTAGAAAATGCTGTTGATTACAGTAAATGCTTATTAGTTTAATCTGGAAACATATGTATGCTTGGAGCAAAATGTTCACAAATACAGTAGCTACTGTACATTTAAGTTGGAATCATTATTTGACTGAATTTGACTCCATACCTGTCATATATTTGGGGGATATCTACTTCTGGTGACTTGTGTAATGTTTATTTAACTCCGCAATAAAATTTTGAAACTTTTATGTCTGACAGGCACTTTATTCAAGAGCTCACGTCGTTAATCTGTCGCTGTTTTCACTGCTTCCTGTATTACTCACCCCACAGCGATTTCCACAGCAGCCCTGCTTCCCAGTCAGGTGAATGTGAAGTGCAGGGATCAGAACCTGTATGGGAGGTTATGTTAGCACGCATTCGGACTCGGGTTTTATCATGAGGTCAGATTCAGAATGCATAAATTGTTTACTGAAAATATAGCAAAGACAACATTTACTCAGCAGACAATAAATATTTAGCAGTGAGATTCATGTGGTATTTGTTATTCACCTTAAAATGAAAAAGAAAACACGAGACAGGACAGATACGCCAAAGCTGAACATAGGAAAAACTCACCAGTATGCCTCCTCCAATCACTCCTCCCATGTACTTCACCTCATCTGTAATGTGTCCATCTTTGGCGTACTGGACGCTTCCATCAGGAAAGAACAGCACAATGTTACAGATGATGGAAATGAGCACCAGCGGGTACAGCGTCACCGCAATGCAGAGGGAACACTTTCCAGTACACATGTCGGCCGATTTCTGGAATGAAAAAACGTCCTTTTGGTTTAAATCTCAGCTCAGGCGACTGCTGCTCTCCGACTCTGGGAAGGTCAGGAAGTTGTGGACCAGTTTGGAACGGAGTGTCTTTTGAAAACGGCTCAACTGTAGGAGGTTTAAATCTGATAAGATAAGAAAGGCAAACAGAGCCAGGGATAGGCTGCAGAAGTGAATGTGACTCACTCTCTGGTGTCATGGAGATGAGCAGAGTGTTGTTTTGTTGGGTTAGTAAAGCTAATATGGACATTAAGCTTTTTATGGCTGAGGATATCGACGCATTTAGGCCGTCTCAGCCAGACGTGCTGTTGTGCTGTCCCCGTGGTTGCACAAAGTTTTACTTTCTGAGTGAAATAAATGATATAAAAGAGTTTTGTGTTTGTATTTCGCTGTAGCAGATTATTCTGATTGATTTTGTGTGTGTGTGTGTGTGTGACAAAAAACAACATTCCTTAAAGGCCATTTAGCTCATAATGTTTACTCTGTCACAGTAGGAGCTTTGAACTGTTGAACTTTGCACATGCAGCTGCAGGAGCGAGAGACAAACAGAACATGTCTGGCTTCGGTGAAAACCTGGAAAACATCCAGGCTACGAATGACCAAATACTTTTCGGACATGATGCGTATCTCTCGTCAATTCTCTGGTGTCAATCAACTGATTAAAGGTTATTGTCTCTAATCAGTAACGACAGGAAGTGAGTGATTGGAAAACAAGCTTGGTCTCTGAGTAACGTTTGGGTGAGGCAGTGTTATTCACTGTGATAAAATTTACAACCAGGAAAGGCTCCTTGAAAAACTGGAACCTCCTCCTTATGACGAGCCCATTGTTATTTCCAGCTTCATGTATGAAAGACTTATGGGTATTCACAGCTTTTTTGGGTTTCAAATACAACTAGCAGTTATCCAAAAAAATGCTTTGTTATGGAGAACCACATCTTAACTTTTTTTTTTTTAACTTTTATCTGATATCTCTAACTGCAGGCGTCACTGCACAGACTGCAGCTACTAACAGGCATTTGTTTCACCTAAGACTTTATTAGTGCTGACTGAAAAGAAAAGAAATAGCAACTCCCAAATATCAACGCGAGGAACAAAAGTGTGCCGTCTGTTAAAACATTTTATTTCATTATTCAATTTATGTGCATGGATATTTCCAACACTTATATCCTCAGATTAATACACTGCAGCAGAATCAAGCATCTGTAATATATTGTGGAAATAAGCTAATGCAGTTGAAGAGAACATCAATTTTAACAAGCATTTTATTTAAAAAGCAACCAGGAGCTCATTTCCAAGTGTTGCATGGCGGCAGCTTTTTGAACTCTTCATGCCCACGAACTCAGGCTTCCTGCAAAAAAAAAAGAAGAAATGAAACAATGAAAACACGTCTGAATGAGGAAGTGGAAATCAGGATGCTTTGAAGGCACACAGCTCTTTCTGACCTGCTTGTCGTTGCAGGTTCCACAGATGCATCCGACGAGGCCGTTGATCACCTGGCTGGCACAGAGGAGAGCCTGCAGAACGCTGGCCACCATCAGGGTGATAAACAGACCCATGTTGAACTGGACCACGTTCTTTGGCTCTACACACTCGTTCCAGACATTAGAGCTTTTCACATGAACCAGGTTCCTGAGGATAAGACAAAAAGACTGTAAAAGACCAAATCTCAACAAGAACACACGCAGATGCATTTCAACTTGTTACCTGTCCAAAAACGGTTGTTCCCATTTGCCAGCTGTGGTTCTGCACAGAGGCCCATTAGAGAAGCCGAGCATCGCCACAATGAAGCTGTATACGGCACCAGCCGCACCCACTGCGGCAAATATGATGGAAAAGAACATCTGCCGATATTAAATGAGAAGCAGAGGTCAGTTTAAACCGTAAGACGATTTTAAAATAGTTAATTATGAGTTCACCTCCTTTTTCACCTCTCTTTAAACAGGAAACATATTCACTGATTCCCTCTCTTCATCACAGCTTTTACATACGTTTTCATCAGATTTGACTATGCAGCAAATATATGCACACAACGAAACGATTTACAAATATTTTATTGTTTTACACTAATGTTAAGGGTCTCAGTGCCATTAACATTAAAAGTGCGTTTCCTCACTTTTATATCACACCTACTAAAGTGAGGAAATGCATGTTTACGTGCTTTGGTAAACTGTGGTTTTGCTATCTGCATCAAAAGTGCCTTGGTGTTGTGCAACGGTGATGCAGCACAACGCAGCATATTTCTTCAGCTCAGGAACAACTGAACTACTCTGAATTTAGCCTGTTTTGTTGCAGATCTTCCTTAACTTGGTTACAACTTGTATTTGCTGCTCTGTTTCACCTTAAATTAGGTCAGAATAACTCACCCCAAAGCGATTTGCACAGCAGCCTTGTTCTCCAGTCAAGTGAATGTACAGCGCTGGGATCAGCACCTGTGTTGAGACACATTGGGTGGTTTGCATTCAGTTTGCGCGATGTCAGTCAGGTGAAGGTTTTTAGCAGCACAAATGTTCTGGTTTGGTTTTAAGACATTTGATAATGACTTATGTGACAACAAAAGCATTTATCAAATCCATTAAAGGGGTGCAAAATGTTTTAATTTATCCCAAAAAACAATTCTATCCAGTAATTATTTCACGAAGCCTAGAACACCTTTCCATTTGTAGTCTCGTTTACCAACCAACTACTTACCAGGACGCCACCACCGATGAATCCTCCCATGTACTTCACTTCATCAGTAATGTGTCCCTCTTTGGCAGCCTTGGTGCTCCAGTCAGGAAAGAAGAGCAAAATGTTGCAGATGATGGACAGAAGAACCAAGGGGTACAGAGAGATCGCAATGAAAAGGGAGCACTTTCCAGTACACATGTTGTCTGCCTGAAAATGCGCCGACTGCAACAAAAACTCCGGTCATCTACGTTGTAGCCAAGACAGTTCCTGTTTTCAGAGTAGTCCCCCTTTGAACGCGACCAAAGATGCTCAGTGCGCTTGCCCTCGTGTCCGTGTCACTGTGACAAAGAGGTTGAATAATTTATTTTCTAACAATTACATAATTTTAAATGACAGTTTGCCTATTCAGCTGTGGTTTTGCAACACATGTTGGAAATAAGCATTTTGGGGGCTTAGGGTTGAGCCCTGTGATGTGCCACACACACATATATATATATATATAT